GGGGTGCCGCGCTTTGGCGCGGCGCAACTGGAACGCTCGTGGGTCCTCTGAACCGCGGCCTTCAAACTGCTTCTCAAGAAGGGCAGGGGTGGTGTCGCTGAGAGAAACGTCGTTTCCCAAATCGACCAGGATGGTACAATAATTAGGCGTGGACCAGGAGACCCTATCAAAGGGCGAGCTTCATGGCCCCATAGAGGCCCTTGCACTCCCTCCACGTTTTGGGCCCACAACTGCTTTAACAAAAAAACAAGCGGTTGGGCGAACTGCGTCTCGGGCCAAGGATGGACGCGCGAGAACAGCTTGGTTTGGTTGGTCCATGTCTCCTTGGAGTAGCGCGCGACAGGCGCCACCGCAGGGTTCCGGGTGGTGTCCCGGGAAAGAACTGGCAGGGAGGTCCTCGACCTCATCTTGGCGGACGGCTGCGTGGTGCGCGCGGCGGCCACCTGCGGCCTATCCCATTCAAAGTTAGACAAGTCGTCAAACTCAGCACCAAAGGTGAGGCTCAGGAAGGGGGTCACCCGTGCATGCTTTAACGGCGCGCCTGCCGAGAGGCCGCTTGGCTCTCTTGGGCCACTTCAATTTCCGTTAAAAAAACTCGCTTCCAATCCGTGAACCTTTTGCCGCAGCCAGGGGGGCCGACGCAAGCCCCCCAACAAAAACGCACACGCACACACACACACACGCACGCACGCACACACACACACGCACACACACACACACGCACACACACACACACGCACACACACACACACAAACACACACACACACATGCACAAATCGACCCCGGGGCCGACGACGGACTGGGCCACGGGCCCCGCGAGGCCGCCAGAGCGCCCCCTGACCTGCGCGGCGAGTGAGTCCGACGAGGGGCGCTTCTTCCACGGAAAGAACACCTCCCATATCCTGCCCGAGGGCGCCCCCGAGGTTTGCCGCGGCCTCGGGGAGATGACCAAGAATGCGCTTTCATGCTCCGATGCAGCTGAGCCCGCAATCGCCAATGCAAGCGTTTAGCGCGATGCCTGGTGGGAGTCGCAAGGGATCCAGGGCAGGCATCGCACTGATGCGCGCCGTGGCGGTAGCAACTCCACAGAAGGCCACGGCGCCGTCGTTGTCAAGGAAAGCTCCGACCACCGTGCCCGAGAGAGCGATCCATCTGCCTTGCCTGGGCGCGCGGACGGGAAGCCCGGCGATCTGCGCGGGGAACTGGCACCAGTGGCAGCGCAGAGGGGGCGGCGACAACCTCGCAAGCTCAAAACAGTCGTAGAGGTCCCAGAACTAAGCACAACTGGCTCCACCTTTTGCAAACGCTCCTTCAGCGCGCAAGGTCTTACGCAACACGACGTCCACATCCGCGGAAAACTAAGAGCCTGCGATATAGCTTCTCTGGGAGTCGCCCCCCCCCGTGGACAGCGCAATTCCGACGGCAGCGCCCCCGGAAGCGATCGGAGCTACAAGAGAGCCACGGGCTGACACCCACCCCCGCAGGCTCGCCCAGCAGGGGCAGGGCCAGCAGGGAAACTTGAAATACGCATCGCGTTTCATGTGAAGCCCGTCGGTCGACGGCAGTGGCAATGCGAGATGGATACCTTCTAGACGCAGATCGTAACTCATCAGCCGTGATCGAAGGAAGGGCATCGCCATGCTGGCAGGCGGGCTCAAGGGAGGGGGAAGGGCGTCGGTAGCCCCCCACAACTGACTGAACGTACTGGCCTCCGCAGATAACAAGGCAAGCGGGGCCAAAGAAAACGGCCCCATCCCTTCTCAACTTGGCGTTTGGGGTCCACGGCTGGCGACCTCGAAGATGCCGGCGCGCTCGCCGCGCGCCTTGATCACTGGGTTGGAGTAGCCATGCCCCCCGCTCAGACAGCGCCTGAAGACTTGGTCCACGTGGACATCCAGCCCTTGCTTCAAGAGAGCAAGCGGGAACATAAGCAACCCTCGGACTCCCCGAGCCCGGGCGGACCGATTCAGACCGCGTCGAGCTGGAGAAGGAGCCTGAACTCACTGACCAACCAGGTGATGGAGTAAACTGCCTGGCCCAAAATGTTGACCCACCGTTGCTGAGGCATGGCCCCCCTGCCACCCCAACACGGAAGGGTCGTCTGCCTTGAACACGCTAGCCCCTTCTTGGCTAGTTCGGCCCGGTCCTTATAGAGCGAGTCGAGCGCGCACTGCGCAGCGCGCGTCTCTGCTGTGACAGGCGTCGAGGGCGCGGTCCGCCTCAGCTAGCATAGCCGACCAACGCGGAGGCGGCGGCGTCGGTCCGATCGGCGACTCCGTCGGCAGCGGCGGCGGCCCACGAAAAAAAACAAGGCCCCGCAGACGCCCCGTGCCTGCTTGACACCGTAGCTGCACAGGCAGGTGGGCGAAGATGTTAGATGCGCGCGCGGCTTCTACTTGCGCAAGGCCACTTAGCCAGCCCACAGGATGCGATAATACAATAAAGCACGCTATTTCCACACGTGCCTAAAACGCCTGGGATCACACCTGTGCGCGTGAACTGTTCACCATGCCCGAAGATACAAACGCGTCGGGGCCCATGTCTAAGTCGGCCCCGATGATCGTGGGCAGGGATGCTTGCTCAGCTACCGTGCCTACAAGAGCCAGGGGGTCCACGTTGGCCTCTGAGAGCCCCATCGCCCGCGCGCATGCAGGCGCTGCAAACGCGCGCTGGACCCCCGCGAGGAGCGTGAACGATGGCCCTGGTAGAGCGATGCACATCAACAGCAGGCCCCCCTGGGGGTGCATGGCAGCCGAGAGAGCTTCTTTCCAAGATCCCCACCCCCGACGACGTGCCGCGCCAAGTCCCTGGAGCAGCTGGCCCGAGACTGGCATTCCACCCACGCCTGCGGGCCCAGCCCGCTGCCTCTTCCAGGTCCGGCCCCAGCAGGCGGTGCTCTTGGATGAGGAGAATGTGCGCGCCGCAATTTGGCAGCCAAGCTTCGAGACCTCCGCCGGAGTCCGAGAGCCGCGAAGTGACGTTGGCAGTATGAACCACGAGCACGACTTTAGAATTTCCAAGGCAAGGCTGGGGGGAGTCGATGGGAAAAAACTCAGACATTGGCCCGGGGCAGCCTGGGCAGTGGCCCCGGGGCCTCGGGGCCAGAAAAAAGCGAGGGGGCACCGACGATCCCCAGGGCAAAGGCCACTTTGGGCCTGCGATTGGACGGGGTCAAGAGGGCTGCCGCGACATGCTGCCGGCGACCTGGCGAGAGCGCGCTCGACCGCTTGCGCCAAAAAGTTCGGATAGGGCGCGCCCGCTTGCTGTCCGAAGAGGGAGCTTCCAGCTCCGTCGTCAGGCGGCCCCAGGCGCAGGGTTACCTCGCGGTGCGGCTGTGTTCTGCGACCGAAACTTCCGAGCGCGTCCGAAGCGCCGGGTGGCGACTGCCGCGCCGGGCCCCCCTGGGCTCAGCGCGGCCCCGCGGGCACAGCGCGCCCCGCTCGAGGCGCGGGGAAAAATCCCGCGGGGGGCGCTCGCGGCATGAGCGCTGTGTTCGGCGAGCACATAGGTTGACGGATGCGCGGCAACGCTGCGGCGCACCTCGCCCCGCGCCGACAGGGGCGGGGGGAGGGAAGCGAGGTGCTCTCTGCATTGGCCCTCGCATCGTCAGACTGTGGGCGGCCCCCACCTCCGTCAGGCGCCTGCTCGGCAGCGGCAGGCATGGACCCACCAGCCGCTGGGGCAGGCTCAGCAGGCGACTGCCTCGCGCGGGGCCCGTCTCCTGGTGCAGGTATTTCAGCTGCTGGTCCACCTGCCGCCGCAGCGCCTTCGAACGTGCGCCGCTTCTTTGCCGATGCGATTCACGTGCCCCCCTTGCGGCTGATGCCGAGGTGCCCAGCAACTCCTTCGCCAGCTTGGACACGCCAGTGTTGAGAGTCTCCTTCCGCGTTGCGATCTCGCCGCGGTCGTCCTGGGCAAGCTCTTCATCCACCTCGAAGAAGCAGACCTCGTCGATCGTGCAAAGAGAGGCCAGGTCGAACCTTTCGTCGCGCAGGTCCTCGAGCTTGAGCTTGGCTGGAGCAGTAGGAGCTGGGCGCTGTCCGACTGAGGCTTTCTGCTGCAACTCCGTGACCAGGGACTTGAAGACTTGAACTGCAAAGCTACCTGCTCCAGGTCCTCACGAAAAGATCGCACAGACTGCTCCAGCTGAAGTACGGCGCTCCTCCACGCCAAGAGTTCATCCACTTCCTTGCCACCGGCCCTCTCAAGCTTACAGACCGCCGCGGGCTGCTGCTGCACACGCTGAAGGAGCGGCGGTGGCCGCTTGGGGGCCTCTTGGACATGCAGTATATTGACCTCTGCCTCGTACTTGGTGGCTGTGGCCAGGAGTCCTCCTTCGCGAGCCAGCTCCGCCAACTGCTGGGCCTCAACCGATGTGAGCCGGCTCTGGGCGCCCACGCGCAGGGAAGCTGCTGGCACGACTTCGCCTCACCCCTGGGTTTCGCCTCCATGTGGCGCAGCGGCGGTGGGACCAGGCTGCACTGCAATAGGAGGAGCGAGGGGTTTCGTGGTCCAGGGCCGTGGCTGCCTAAAGACTCCCGAGGAATCTCAAAAGGACGATCTGTAGCAAGCGGCGACCCGCGGAGCTTGCAGTACCTGGAAGACCCCGTTTTTTCGCACATCCACAATAGCTACACGGAACCTTCGAGAAGTCGTCGCCTCATTTACCGCCACGATCGTTCCACCAGTTAGAATATGAGTATCCGCCATCGTGGGGCCAGGTCGCCGCTGCAGAGGCTCGGTCCTCTCGACAACTGCCATTGCCGCGTCCTTGCCCTTTGCCACCCACATGGCGAGAAACAAATGGTGCCATGCGCCCGCAAGTCACTGAGAGAAATCTACACCGAGCCAAAAGCCCGTTGACGTAGTGCCGCTCTGAAGTTGGCGTCGACAAACACAACAACTTGTTCCAGAACGGCTGGAGGAGGAGAATAAAGAGGAGGAGGAGGACGAGGAGAAGGAGGACGAGGTGGAAAGGGAACAGGAATAGAACTCCCGCCTGCTCGGCCACATCCGGCGCCTCAGCGGCCAGAGCTGTCTCCGCGCGATCTGCGCCAACGGCCTGGCGGGCGACCGCGGCCGGCCGCCGGCGGGGCATAATCAGCTCGAGCAGGCGAACAGACACCAGGCGGCGTACAAAACGGTTCGGGGACGCCTGCTCCGCCTTCCGCATTCCTCCTCCTGGTGCCCCCTCATTTCTCCACCCCCTCCTCCTCCTACTCCTCTTCATCCTCCGCCTCCTTCTCCTCCTCCTCCTCCAACTCCGCCTCCGCCTCCTCGTTTTGCTTCTCCTCCTCGTCCACCTGCTCCTCCTCCTCCTCGTCCTCCTCGTCCTCCTCCTCCTCCTCCTCCTCTTCCTCTCCCTCCTCCTCCTCCTCTTCCTCCTCCTCCTCCTCTTCCTCCTCCTCCTCCTCCCTCTCTTCCTTCTCCTCCTTTTCCTCCTCCTCCTCCTCCTCTTCCTCCTTCTCCTTCTCCTCCTCTTCCTCCTTATTCTTCGTCTTCTTCATATTCTTCGCCTTCTTCATATTATTATTCAAAATATGTGTCTTCTTCGTCTTCTTCATATTATTCTTCCTCCTCCTCCTCCTCCTCCTCCTCCCTTCTTTTTCCTCCATTTCCTTATGTTCCTCCTCCTTCTCCTCCTCCTCGTCTCCTGCCTCTCTGCTCTGCGCCTTGCTCATGTCCTCCTCCTCCTCCTACTCCTCCTCCTCCTCTCCATCCTCCTCCCCCCCTCCTTTCCTCCTTCTCCTCTCTCCCTCCTCTCATCCTCTCCTCCCCTCTCCTCACCTGCTCCTCCTCCTCCTCCCATTCTTCCTCCTCTTCTACGCTCCTCCACCTCCTCTCCTCCTCCTCCTCCTCCTCCTGCCTTGTTCTTTGCCTCCTCCGCTTCTCCTATCCTCTACTCTCCTCCGCCTCCTTCTCCTCCTTCCTCTGTTTCCTCCTCCTCCTCCTCCTTTCTCCTCCCCTCTGGCTCTTCCTCCTCCTCCTCTCCTCCTCTCTCCGCCTCCCCCCCCTACTCCTCCTCCCCCCCCTCCTCCTCTCCTGCCTCCTTCCTCTCCTCTCCTCCTCCTCCTCATCCTCCTCCTCCTCCTCCTTCCTCCTCCTTCTCCTCCCTCTTCTCCTTTTCCCTTCTCCTCTCCTCCTCCCTCTCCCCTCCCCTCATCCTGTTCTTCTCCTCCTCATCCTGCTCCTGCTCCTCTTCCTCCCCTCTGCACCTCATTCCTGCTCCTCCTCCTCCCTCCTCCTCCTCTTCTCCTCCTCCTCCTCCTCCTGGTGCTCCTCCTCCTCCTCCGGTGCTCCTCCTCCTCCTCCGCCTCCTCCTCCGGATACTCGAGCACAAATACATCAGCACCTCGCCGAAATGCACAACCAAGACTCCCTCCTTTCTTTTCCTCCAGCATGCTTTCTGTGTGTTGCGCAGATTCGAAAATTGTTGGCATGTCTCGCAAAAACCTATGCATGTCTGTATGCTTACAGGAGACCACGGCCTCGCCCACCTGGTCTTAGCAGGCCAAAAACTGCTGTCCGACGTGGTGGTTCGTTCGTTCGTTCGTTCGTTCGTTCGTTCGCGCGTTCGTTCCTCCTCCTCCTCCTCCTCCTCCTCCTCCTCCTCCTCCTCCTCCTCCTCCCCCTCCTCGTCCCTCCTCCTCCGGCACCTCGTTTCCTCTCATCGTTCTACTCCTCCTCTCCTCCTCCTCCTCTCCTCCTCCTCCTCCTCCTCCTCCTCTCCTCGTCCTCCTCGTCCTCCTCGTCCTCATATGCCTCCTCCTCGTCCTCGTCCTCGTCATCCTCTCTTCCTCCTCCTCATCCTCTTCCCCTCCTCCGCCTCCTCCTCGTCCTCCTCGTCCTCCCCCTCCTCCTCCCGCCCCGTCTCCTCCTCCTGCTCCTCCTCCTCATCTTCCTCTTCCGCCTCCTCCTCTTCTTCTCAGTTCCTCGTATCATTTTCTCCTCCTCCTCTTCCTCCTCCTCCTCCTTCTCCTTCTCTCCTCTCCTGATCCGCGTCCTCGTCCTCGTCCTCTCCTCGTCCTCGTCCTTCCTCCTCCTCCCCTCCTCCTCTCCTCCTCCTCCTCCCCCTCCTCCTCCCCCTCCTCCGTCCTCCTCCTCCTCCTCCTCATCATCATCATGATCATCATCATCCTCCTCCTCCTCCTCCTCCTCCTCCTCCTCCTCCTCCTCCTCCCCTCTTCGACGTCCCACCCCCGCCCCGCCCCCAGGCATCTGACGATGTGATCGCTGCAATGCGGGGCCCCCAAAAAAGTCCCGACCCTTTCCCCTGGGATGGCTTTTCGCCCTTGATCGGGGGCGCGCTGACACGGTACAGCACAAACCCGGGTCGGCCAGGGCCCTACATCGCGAAGCCCCGGTGGCCACTTAGAGACTCCCCAACCCCGGACACCGGAGAGCGGAAAAGGGGAATTGGCCCCGCGCGGCTCCCAAGCCCAGGTCAACCAGACAGCCAGGGGGTAGGAGGATAATGAAGAGGAGGAGGAGGAGGAGGAGGAGGAGGAGGAGGAGGAGGAGGACGAGGAGGAGGTGGAACGATCTCGGGCCAGATGTCTGAGTGATTGACCACGGACCAGCATTCGCCAGAAGATTCTGCCATGGTCGACCTATCGTGCGCATTAAGTGCGAGTGAACGACGGCCCCCCTCCCACAGGCGGGAACCCCGAATTGACTTCGCTCGACCGCGACTCGCAGTGAGCAGACAGAGCGATTTGAAGACGGCCCAGGGATCCAGGCCCAAGAACGATAAAAAACACGCAGAGCTAAAAACGCGCGACGTAGGCCACATTCTTGAAGGACGGAGTGAACGAGTAGGCTCTCAAAGGAGGAAGATGAGGATGAGGATGAGGAGGAGGAGGAGGAGAAGGAGGAGGAGGAGGGAGAGGAGGAGGAGGAGAAGGAGGAGGAGTGGGGATAGCAGCAGCGGCGGCGACAGCACGAGCCTCCTTCAGGGCGTCCACGGCGCCCCCATCCTCACTCGACCTGGGAATTCTCCCCGACGCGGGCTTTCTCCCCAGTGGCATCTGCACTCTTGAACTGGTGATCTGCAGCCTCGACGCGGTCACCCTCGCAGAGGACGTAGCTATCAACGATCTCGACCTGGCCAGCAGTGACCCGAGCTGGCTGTCTGCGACGCTGGACTGGCAGTTTGCACGTGGCAACGTAGCCAGGAAGACCATTTCCTAGACGTGCGCTCTAACGCCTCGCGTTCTGACGCAACTATGCGTCACTTTTCCACTCTTCTCAGCGAAAGACATGGCAAATCTCGAGCCATGGAGGCCATCCTCTGGACGTTGCGTTCTAACGCCAGGGCGTGGCGACGTCTGAGACAGGGAGGCCACCCCCTGAACTTGCGATCTAACGCCGCTCCGCTTCACACTGCGAACTCGTCGAGCGCGAGCTGGAGCACCCTCTCGGCGTGCGGCCGCAGTGCCATGCCTGGCCGAACGACCCCTCCGAGTTGGGTCACGCACTCCTGTAACGCCCGCTGCATCTCGGGATCCACCAAGCTGAAGACCATCTTCGCGAGCCCCTCTCCGAAAGCCCTGCTGACTCTGACGGCTCCGACCAGCATCGTCAGATCCGCGACCGAGGTAATCCTGTCGATACGCACCTGCTGCTCATTCCGCGTCTTCGCACTGGCGGGCCCCGCTTTGTCGCCCGCCTCGGCCACCTCCCTCGCCATGGCTAGGAATACTTGCGCGCGCTGGGCCCAGGCTCACCTCGGGAAGCGGCTTGTTCGTCGGATCATGGCGGTGCTCGTCCCTCATCGTCGTTGCCTCTGTGGCGTGCGCGCGCCCTGCTTGAAAGCCGCTCTGGGCAGGTCGGCGTTCTCCTCCATCGTCATGGTAGCGAATTTGGCTGCCATGGGCATCCTCAGATTGAAGGAGATGCCGGGGGAGGCCTGCATGATCACTGGAAACAGCTTGGCGCCTAGAGCGTCCGCGGGGAGCCCGTAAGTCTGCCCCATCTGCTTGCGACCGTCGCCGCTGGCACCTGCCCCTTCCTCCGCCGCTGCCTCCAGGACCCCGCTGACGCCGCGCGGGCTGGGCAGGCGCCGCAGGCCTGGGAACTCCGCGCGCGGGCTGATTGCGTGGCCGCGACCTGCCAGACCCCGCGCGCGCGGGAAGCATGCGTCGAGCCAGAGCGGCCTCGGCGCGAGCCGCGCCGCCCTCCGCGCGACCGCGAACGGCGCGCCGCCGCCTCGAGCGCCTCCGCCCCCAGGCGGACCATCCGGCCCTCGACGGGCGAGAGATGCACGTGGTGTATGTCGACAAAGGTGGCGATTCAGCGCTGCTCGATCCTCCAGCGGCCCTGCGCGGTTACCGCAGTAGTCAAGCGCCCCGATACTCTGGCCTCCCAACACCGCCCCTCGAGCCAGGTCAGCACGGGGACAACGCAGGCTCTCGGGGCCCTGGACAAGATGGTCGAAGGGCGCGGTGCTCTGGGGGCACCGACCTCTTACCCTGATCACGGCCTGGACAGCACGTTCTTGAATGATTTGTCGGGCGCGGAACCACTAGTCACATAACGCGCACTCGTTAGTGACAATGATGGAAAGGACGACTGACCTACATAAGTGGCCCCCTCCGCTGGCAAACCGTCGACGCGCCAGAAACGCCTTCGCAATCATGGAGACCCGTCCGCAGATCGCCCCGTCAGCGCCCCCCAGCGCGCGCCACCAGGCAGCCAGCGGCGGCGGGGACACATCGAGAGCACCTCCAGGAGCCTCTGGAGGATCAGCAGGAGGAGGGCCATATAGACTCACTGGTGGTATAGCCGCGGCCCTCATCTCGGCGGGTAGAAAGAAGCCCAGGGTCCAATGCCAAGCACTGCCCCCTCAGATCCCCGCCCATGAACAGAGCACGCGCGCAGAGCTTCATGCGGGGCACGCCCGAGGGCCCCGCAAAGAGCCAGGATTCGAGCAACTCCGCCTCGGACTTCTGCACCAAGATCAAGATGTCGGACGCGAAGCGTTCGGCGCACAGGCTCGCATTCGCGCGCAACCAGCCCAGTTCGCACAACGCGGCATGACCATCTATCGGCAGCTGTCCAAAG